TCTGGGGGTGCTACGCCAGAGGGTGTTGAGCCTGGAGGTGCTGCGTTTGGAGGTGCTGAGCCTGGGGGTGCGGAGCCTGCGGTCGCAGGACCTCCCCTTGTGGCGTCTGGCGGTGCTGGGCCTGGAGGTTCTCCGGGAGCTCCGTCTTCGCGGGAGCCCCTCTCTCCACAGGAGCTACGAGAGTGGTTTGCTCGCCGCTGGAGGCGTACTCTTGCAGCTGGAGCTTCTTCCACCGCTGAGGGTGCTAGTGCCGCCGGTCCCGGAGCTGGTGGGCCTGCGGGTCCTACTGGAGCTGGAGCTGCTGAGGGTGTTGGTGCTGAGAATTCTGCTGTCTGTCCTTGCAGTGGTCCTGCTGCTAGTGCGGCTGGAGGTCCTGCAGCTTGAGGTGCTGTTGGCGCTGGTACTGCCGCTGAAGGTGCTTGTGCTGTTCTTGCTGTGTCTTGAGTTCCCGCGCGGCCTCGGCCGTACTTCGTTCCGCTCTTGCAGCTGGTTCTTGGTCTTCCTCCTTCTGTAGAGTGTCCACCGCCTCTCCAGTCGCAGTCACTCTTAGAGCCAGCCTCCCCACTGCCTGCTCCCTCTCCTTACACTGGTCCTACTGGAGGTCTTGCTGAGCGTCGTGAGCCTGCGTCTCATCCCGCGTCACCTGTTTGTGCTGCTCGCGCTAGTGGTCGCGGTTCGCGTCAGCGTCCTCCTCCAGTCCCTGGCACCCACCGGATGTCTTTGCGTCTGTCTACTACTCCTCTACATGCCCCTTTGCCTTCTCCTCCTGAGTCCTCTCTTCCTGCGCTTGCCGACACAGAGTCGGACTCTCTTCGTGCTTCCAGTCCTACCGTCACGCGTCTTCTTGCTACTATTGTCACTGACCCCTCTTTTGAGTCCACTGCTGCGTCTGCTCTTGTTGCTGAGCTCGTCGACTTTGCTGCTCGCTGTCGTCTAGACTACGCTGCTAGTCTTGTTGCTGAGTCTGCGTCTGTCTCTCCTCCGTCCGTCGGGGGTGAGTGTGCTCTTCGCACGGACGTCCTTGAGGTCAGGCAGGAGGAGTTCCAGTGTCTGGCTGCTGCTTCACCTCATCTCGGGTCTATACTGCTTGCCCCTGAGGGAGACCCAGATGCACTAGACATCCCGGCTCCGCGTTCTTACGCGGAGGCCGTAGAGGGTCCCTACTCCTCTCAGTGGCAGGCAGCTATGGATGCAGAGATGGCTTCGTGGAAGTCCACATGCACCTACGTTGACGCGGTTCCCCCTCCTGGGGCGAACATCGTCAGTGGCATGTGGATCTTCAGGGTGAAGTGGCCACCAGGCTCTCCACCTGTCTTCAAGGCGCGGTACATCGCTCGTGCCTTCAATCTGCGGCAGGGAGTTGACTACTTTCAGACCTTCTCTCCCACCCGAAGATGACCACTCTTCGGGTGCTTCTACACATAGCCGCTCAGCGTGACTACGAGCTTCACTCTCTTGACTTCAGCATTGCATTTTTGCAGAGCAGCCTGCACGAGGAGATCTGGCTGCGCCGTCAACCTGGCTTCACTGGGAATTTCCCTCCTGACACCCAGTGGAGCCTCCGACGGCCAGTCTACGGTCTCCGCCAGGCATCGCGTGAGTGGCACGACACACTGAGGACTACACTTGCGGCTCTTGGGTTTGCTCCCTCTAGTGCTGACCCGTCGCTGTTTCTGCGCACCGACACTTCTCTGCCGCCGTTCTACATCCTCGTGTACGTCGACGACTTGGTCTTTGCCACTACTGACACTGCTGGACTCGCCTACGTGAAGTCCGAGCTACAGAAGAGACACACGTGCACAGACCTGGGTGAACTGCGTAGCTACCTTGGCTTGGAGATCACTCGGGACAGAGCACGCCGCACCATTACCTTGATTCAGTCACACATGGTGCAGCAGGTCCTTCAGCGCTTCGGCTTCACGTTCTCCTTGCCTCAGGCCACTCCTCTGGCTACTCGCCACTCGCTCTCAGCTCGGCCTTCGGATGAGTCCGTAGAGTCGAGTGGCCCGTACCCAGAGCTTGTTGGCTGCCTCATGTACTTGATGACCTGCACATGACCTGACCTTGCATACCCTCTTAGCATTCTTGCACGCTATGTTGCTCCTGTGAGACACCGACCAGAGCACATGGCTGCACCGAAGAGGGTGTTGCGCTACTTGTGCAGTACGTCGGGCATGGGGCTAGTGCTTGGAGGGCAGAGTCCAGTGGTCCTCATTGGACACGCGGACGCTTCTTGGGCTGACGACCAGGCTACGCAGCGGTCGTCCCAGGGGTACAAATTCCGTCTTGGTTCTGTTTTTGTCTCGTGGCGGGCTACTCGCTCGTCTTCTATTCTCGGCTCGAGTTGTGAGGCTGAGATCTACGCCGGGTCCATGGCTGCACAGGAGCTTCGCTGGCTCACCTACTTGCTGACTGACCTTGGAGAGCCGCCTCGTTCTCCTCCAGTGCTGTACGTAGACAACAAGGCCATGCTGGCCTTGTGTCGAGAGCAGCGCTTGGAGCACAGAACGAAGCACATTGCTCTCCGCTACTTCCTTGCTCGTGAGCTGCACCAGCGTGGTTAGTTGCGACTTGCGTACGTGGCCTGTGAGGCCAACACTGCTGATGTGTTCACCAAGGCACTTCCGCCTTGTGATCATCAGCGCTTCTGCACTCAGCTGGGACTTGTACCTGTCCTACCTCACTTGCTCTCCTGTTGACCTTGCTTGTACTCTTGCATATATATATATATCCCTGCTCTTGCTTGTTTAGCCTTATACATATATGTGTCATCTTTCATGTGAACTGGCCTTGTGGCCTTGACCTTGTGCTCGGACTGTGTGGTGACTTTGTGATCCACCCTGAGCTTTGCTTTGCTTTGCTTGACTGGTCTTGTGGCCCCTTGTTCTCCCCCACTTTGCCTATGGGGGTGTGTTAGAACATTTATAGCTCATGCTTTTGTGTAGGCTATAGTGGGGTATCCCATAGGGGGTACAACCCAATTAGGGTTGGTACTTGTACTCACACATTTCATAGTTCATCCATTCGTGTTCTTTCCTTTCACAGGGCGACGGGGCCGGGTCGAAGGTAGGGCGACGGGGCCGGTACGCAGGTAGGGTGACGGGGCCGGGGCCGGGGCGCTGGTAGGGCGACGGGGCTTGGGTCGGAGGTGGGGCGACGGGGCCGGGGTCACAAGTAGGGCGACGCGGCCGGGGCCGGGGCGCAGGTAGGGCGACGGGGCTAAGGCGGGGGCCGCAGGTATGGTGACGGGGCTAGGGTCGCAGGTAGGGCGACGGGGCCGGGGTTGCAGTTAGGGCGACGGGGCCGGGGCGCAGGTAGTGCGACGGGGCTAGGGCGCAGGTAGGGCGACGGGGCCGAGGCGCAAGTAGGGCGACGGGGCCGAGGCGCAGATAGGGCGACGGGGCTGGGGCCATAGGTAGGGTGACGGGGTCGCTAGGGCGACGAATCAAGGGCCGCTAAGGCGGAGCGATGTGGCCGCTAGGGCGGCTCGACAAAGTCTGAGAGGGGAGCGCGACTCGAGCTGAGCGCGCTCCGGGCAGGAAAAAAAAAAACTTTGGACTTGGTGGGCCCTAGGCACAGTTCCCTCGAGGGAACCTACCTGATACCATGAGAAAAAATGAAACGAAAATGAGTGAACTAAGGAATGGAACGTGGTACAAATATGCAACCCTAGGAATGTGTACCCCATATAGGCTACCCCACTACAGCCTACACAACATTATGTTTTGACACAGGTAGTTTACATGGAACACGAGATCTTCCGGGAGGTCCGCCTTTGAGCGCCAAACGACCCACCCGACGCCCGGGTACACGCGAACTTGTGCCTGCTCACGTTGATGGACTTGACGAGCGGCAGCCGGAAGTCCTACTCCAGGTCGGGGAAGAGGAACGGCGCCACGAACCCACCGCTCGCTGCGTCCACGTGGATCGGCGTGTCCCACCTGCCACGATGATCGTGGGATTGGTGGGGCGACGACGAGGGCGACGGGTCCCGCGAAAATGCGTAGAATAATTTGCGCAGTCGCTGCGGAGCATGATTGTGCGCCCAGTTAAACGAGTCGGTGGTTGACGAAAGCGAAACGAATGCAGCAGAATCCGATTGTCTTCGTAGTGGTATCTTATGACCAATAGCGGCGCGCGTGGCGAGCGCCGTGCATCTTATCCGGTCCTGGCATTGTTCTCCGCGAGGAGGTCGTTGAGAAGCTTGATGTTCTCGAATTCCCCGTTGTAGGTGGACTCGAGGATACGCGCAACGCAGATAGTGTTTTCGTCAACGGCCTCCACAGCTTCGTGAGGGTCCATCACGAACGATGTTTTCTTCACGTTGACGAACCGCGTCTCCACTTCGAAGTAGTTGGAGAATTTCTCCCAGCACACCGGCGGTCGTCCACCAATCCATAGAAAAAAACGATCGAGTCGAAGTAGTAACCACGTACCATGTACTCGTTGGACGAAAGTGTCGCAACGAGTGATAGCTTCAGGAGCAATTTCCTCGTCTGGCGCAGCAGAACAACTTACCTGCACTTCGGAGCCGCACACGAAGTTGGGCTTGTCGTACGGCTTGCCCTGCGCCTTGCGCTTGTTTTGCCACTGGCGCTTGAAGGCGAGCCCCGTCAGCATGATGGCGTCCGATGACCCCACCGTGCCCACGCCCACCGCGCCCTCCGACTCGCCCAACGGCGCGTGAAAGAGATTTGCGATGATGTTCACGCACCGCTCCTGCCAATATAATTCGCGGGGGATTTTTTAGCCTTTTTCAATATTAAGCTCTTTAACCGAGTAAGAGTGTGATGGTCCAGAAAGCTGCAGACGGACATACCTGAAGGTCGTTGGTGATGGGGTATTCTTAGATGTCAATGTAGTTCTTATTGAGTGACTCCATAATGAGTTGGTCGCATTCCGACTCCATCCACTTGGTGACGAAGGACGCTAGGTTGAGGCGCGGGTTGCAATCCAGGAGCAGCTCGTCGTGAATCATCTAATACGCCGCCTCCTTGGGAATGCCGTCCTTGCCCATCCGATACCTGCAAGAGGGTAGCACGATTAGTCATTATCACATGAGGGACGGCAGTAGCAAGCGGTGAGCGAGGAGTAAAGAACGCAGTATTTGAGAGTTGGGTTATAACGGAAAATACTTGGGAACAGATGCCGAAGTGTAGCGAGAAGCGAATACGGACTCCACGACATGATCGTCGTCACTGGCGTGGACGATGTTGTGCAGCATTGTGGCGTGGCGAGCGTGCGCAACAGGGAGGAGGTGGGAGGCTTGGAGAGGGGAACAAACTCCCAAGCCGAAGTGAATATTCAACGAGATACAAGTTGAAGAGCCCCGAAGCTTGTTTTTGTGGTGGGTGTGGGAGTAGCCTCCAAGCGAGCTCCCCCTGAACCCTGTGGTTTGTGCCAGGTTTGGTCGGGTGGCTGGTTTGGGCTAGAAACTATTTGGTTCAAGCTCAAATACAGGTTCGTCCCTTCCTTTGAAAGGCTCGTCAGTCGAGGCTCGTTCCTTCCTTGACTAAAGGTCCGAGCTCCACCAGGCCAAAGCCGAGTGTGGCTCGTACATATATGTTCAGGAAGAAATTACCCCATGCCTTGGGGCATTCGAGAACGACGGATTCGGAATACAGTACATGCTTGCACTTGCAAAAACCCCAGAAACGAGAGACATGGCAGAGTATTCCAGTCAACGAATAAATAAAGAGGGGCAAACTCGAATGAGACCGAATTTCATTTGTGGATGATGGGAGGCAAGTCTGTGGTCCATAGACTGGCAGCTCGGGGAAGAGGTACGGCGCGCAGAGCCTCGATGTCCTTTACAAACCCACAGACCTTTAATTCCTTCGAGTGCTACTTCACTGAATGTTCATACCACTTCTGTGCTTTCAAAGTCCCTCCACGTAAGCAAACGATATCTGCTATTCCACGTGTCATGTCTACTCGTTATCACCAAACTGCACAGTTTGCCTTCCGAGCCCACAGTTGACTTCCCGAGCCTCTCTGGTTACCAAATGACGCCCCGCAAAACTGCGGAGAGTCGTAAGCCCAAAATTGGTTGGCGAGAGTCCCAACCGCTCCCTCCTGAAGGGAGTAGGGCAAGGCAAGCTGTGTACATATTGGAAATTGTTGTAATTCAGGTCATGCTCGACCACATAGTAGTCACGTGAAACTCCTAGGTAGAGCAGAAAGCCAATAGAGCTGGAGCCCAATCCACCGGGGAAAAAAAAAACACCAAACAGATTCTATGCGATGGCGCCGCTTTTTACTCAGCGTCGTCGTCGAAACCCTGCGCGACCGCGCAAACGACAGTTTGCGGCGCATGCATCTCCTCTCCGAGCTCGATAATAGGTAATCAAACGGTCGATCGCGGTCATTTCCCGTGCATTCGCCCTATGTTTGCCTCAGCTACATTCCCCTCCCGCGCTTCCTAGTCGACGTCACACCCTGCCACCCACGCTTCCCCTCGTCGCCGTCGCCATCCCCCACGCTTCCCCCCACCGTCGCCCTCGCTTCCTCCCGCTGTCGCTCACACTTTACTCCATCGTTGACCACGCTCCCCCTCCCGTCGCTTTCGCTTCCTCCCACCGTCGCCCTCGCTTCCTCCCACCGTCTCCCTTGCTTCCTCCCCCCGTCGCCTTCGCTTCCTCCAACCGTCGCTTTCGCTTCCTCCCACCGTCGCCCTCGCTTCCTCACACCGTCGCCCTCGCTTCCTCCCACCGACGCCCTCGCTTCCTCCCACCGTCGCCCTCGCTTCCTCCCACCGTCGCCCTCGCTTCCTCCCACCCTCCCCTACACTCCGCCGTCGTCATCACTTCCCTGCCTATCACGTTCACCCTCTTCGTCACACGTCGCCTCTCTCTCTCCCCCTATTCTACCTTCACCACTCCTACCGTCGTCCATGGTTACCACCCCACACTTGAACCCTTCTCATTCTCTCACATTCTCCCTTCTCCCTTGCTTCTCGCCCACAATAAACGCAGAGATGTATGGCGCCTGGGCGCTGGGTATGGGGTCGTGAATTGTTCGCTGTGGGGTGTGTGAGGGTGTGTGGTGCGAAGGCTAGGGGAGAATGAAAGCTGATGGGGTGCGAGTCGAGGAGCACGCACCCTGCCCCTCACGCTGTGTCACTCAGGATGTGAAGGAGGAGGGGACGGAGGAGGGGAGAGAGGAGGAAAGGGAGGAGGAGGAGGAGATTGGAGGGAGAGGAGAGATAGTGGAGAGGGCTGAGGAGGGGAAGATTGGAGGGAGAGAAGAGGGAGTGGCGAGGGCTGAGGAGGGGAAGATTGGAGGGAGAGAAGAGGGAGTGGCGAGGGCTGAGGAGGGGAGAGAGGAACTTGGCGAAGAGGCAGAGGGTGGGGACGCTCCCTCAAGGGAGGGAAGGGCGAGAGGAGAGACGGGAGTGGAAGGCGAGCAGGGTATGGGTGTGGGTATGGGAGAGGACGCTGTAGGGGAGGGGTGGATGGAGGAGGAGAGACAGAAGCTGCAGGCGCTGCTGTGTGCTGCGGGCCTCACTCTGCTGGCAGGGGGGTCCAGTCAACCCAGTCAACCTGGTCAACCAAGTCAACAGGGTCAGCAGTAGGGCCAACATCTGCATGCTCAGCCCAGTGAGCAGCAGCAAGGCACGGAGGCCAACAATCCCTCCACCAATCTATCAACGTGCCAGTCCAGCAGTCACCCTCTCCCCGCCCACTTCCCCAGGCCCCTCTCGTGGGCGTGGGCGCCCTGCTCTCGCCTGGCCCTGTCAGCCTCGGGATTCGAGCAGCTGAGAGTGAAGGTGGGTTGGAGAAGGTGAGAGTGAAGGTGGGTTGGAGAAGGTGAGAGTGAAGGTGGGTTGGAGAAGGTGAGAGTGAAGGTGGGTTGGAGAAGCTGAGAGTGAAGGTGGGTTGGAGAAGGTGAGAGTGAAGGTGGGTTTGAGAATCAGATAGGCACCGCACCTCCCAAGTGATCACCCTCCCTGCTTGCTCATAGCCATACATGAGTAAACTGTTTCCAGTTTCACCCCGAAGCAAACTGTTTTAAAACGCTCAGCGCTCTCGATTGCGTCTTATTCTAATTCGTCCCAATCCATATCTTTTTTCCATCCCATGCACCCCGCACGCACACACACACACACACGCACGCACGCACGCACGCATGCACGCACGCACACACACACGCACGCACACACACACACGCACGCACGCACGCACACCAGGGCATGCAATCCATCGATCAGATGTTCTCCCGTCGAACAGCACGCTCAGCTGCTGCCCACCATGCACCGCCCACACCTGCTCCCAGCCATGCCACTCTTCCATGCCATGCCGCCCTGCCATGCCATGCAAGCACTGCAAGCATAGCAGCAGCTGATGCGTCAGGCCATGGTGCGCCCATTGCACGCGGCCCAGCACATGGCACAGCAGCACTTCGTGACTCGTCGTCCCCTTTGCTGAGAGCTTTCAGTCGAGGCTCTGCTTTAAGAAGTGAGGCTCATAGCCAGGGAGAGGAGGTGGGGCAAGGAGAGGCGGACAGGCAAGGAGAAGCAAACAGGCAAGGAGGGGCGGAGAAACAAGGCGATGTGGAACGAGAGCTGGTGGAAGAGGGCAGATGAGAGGTCAAGGAGAGGGCGGACATGGGTGGGGGAGGGGTGATGAAACGAGGAGGGGAAGAAGGGGAGCGAAGTGAGGGAGAGGAGGGTTTTGAAGGAGTGGGGCGGCGTGAGAGTAAGAAATTAAGAATAGAAGAGCAAGGCAAGGCTTGTAGTGAAGAGGAGAAGGGAACAGAGGAGCGGGGCTCTGAAAAGCGGGGGATTGGGGAGCAAGGGACAGGGGAACGGACAGATTCAAGAAGAAGGAAATTAGTGGGCCGGGGAAGAGGAGGGAGAAGAGTGAGGGGCAGCAGAGGACGGCTGGGTTCACACAGCAAGAGGGGTGCTGTTGAAGGGGCTCTAGTGAGGATGCTGGGTCAGAGGCGAGTGAGGAATGAGCACACAAGCATGGAAGACTTGGATTTGGGTGACAGCCTGTCTCGAAAGGCGAATAGTATGAGTGGAGAAGGGGGAGTGGTGGGAGGCGGCGTGGATGCGGTGGGAGGTGGTCTTGCTCGCCCAACAGTAGATGATGGTGAGGCAAGGGATTTACGGGCGAGAGGAGGAGGACAAACGCCAGGTGCACTGGGAGGGGTGCAGAGTGATGCTGACGAGGCGGAGGAAGGGGCAGAGAAGGAGGTGAGGAGTGAGGGTGGGGAACATGGAGATGCGTCAGTGCAAAAGAGGAGGAGAGTTGGTGCCACCGCTGGACAGGAATCAAGGGCTTTCTCAACAATGCGAGTCACTGGCGAGCGTGGTATCACAGGCGATGGTATCACAGCGTGGTATCACAGGCGTCATCTCATCCCCCCATCATCTCATCCCCCCATCATCCCATTCCCCCATCATCTCATCCCCCCATCATCTCATCCGCCCATCATCTCATCCCCCCATCATCTCATCCCCCCATCATCTCATCCCCCCATCATCACATCCCCCCATCATCTCATCCGCCCATCATCTCATCCCCCCATCATCTCATCCGCCCATCATCTCATCCCCCCATCATCTCATCCGCCCATCATCTCATCCCCCCATCATCTCATCCCCCCATCATCTCATCCCCCCATCATCTCATCCGCCCATCATCTCATCCCCCCATCATCTCATCCGCCCATCATCTCATCCGCCCTTCTTCTGTGTCTCCGTTGCTCATTTTCTGCCTCCGTGCATTCTTTGTTCCCCACCGTGCATCAGAGTTTGTGGTTCGTGTCTATGCAGGTCTGCCATGCATCCAGTCGTGATGAGTATAGGGTTTGATGATACTAGTCATCTACAATAGCTATACAGTGTATTGTTATTGATATTGGTTGGATGCGTCTCATAATACACATCACGAAACAAGACAAGACTAAATAAGCACAAGCACAAAGCTAGGAGTTGGTAACTTTTCAACCCACTCCTGTTGGGACTCATGGTCCTGGAAACCTGTACAAGCATGGGTTTGGAAGGAACGGGGAGGGAAGAGGGAATATTGCAGAATACACGAGGGGTGAAGGTGGAGGGCATGTATGGGAGGAGTTAGGCAGAGTGAGCGAAGCGGAAAAGAGAGTAAGCAGGGTGGAGAAGGGGGTAAGAAAAGGGGATAGCCAGTAAGCATGGGGTTAAGGAGGGATGTGAACAGGGGAAATGAGAGGACTTGGGGGGGAAAAAGGGTTGAATGAAAGGGAATAGAGAGTAAACAAGGTGGAAAAATGGGTGAGTACAGGGGGAAAGAGAGAGAGCAGAGGGGGAGAGAGTGAACAAGAGGAAATAGGAACGATGGGTGAATACAGGGGGTAGGGGAGTGAGCAGGGGAATTTAGGAACGAGCACAGGGGGAAATAGACTGAGCAGGGGGGAAATGGGTGAGAAAGGGGGAAAGAGGGGTGAGAACAGGGGGAAAGAAGGTGAGTAGGGGGGGAAGAGAGTAAGCAAGGGGAAAGAGAGTGAGCAGGGGGCAAGTGAGTGAGCAGGGGAGGAGAGAGTGAGTATAGGAGTGAGCCGGGAAAACAGGGGATAGCAGAGGGGGTAAGAGAGCGTGAAGGCGAAAATGGGTGAGAAATGGGGAAAGTGGGGTGAGCACAAGGGGAGTGAGCAGAGTGAAAGAGGATGAGCAGGGCAAAGAGATTGAGGAGGGGGGAAGCGAGTGAGCAGGGGGAAAGAGAGTGGGGGGAGGGGGGTGGGAGAGTGTGAGCCGGGTTAGAGAGAGAGAGCAGGGGGAAAGAGGTTGAGCAGGGGGGAACGGTTGAGTGAAGGGGGGAAGAGGGGTGAGAACACGGGGTGAACAGGAGAGGAGAGAGTGAAGGGTGGGGAAAAGAGTGGGCAGGGGGTAAGAGAGTGAGCAGTGGGAAAGAGAGTGAGCAGGGAGAGTGAGCAGGAGAGAGCGAAAGGCAATGGAAGGGGAAGTGAAGGCGACGGGTGGGGAAGCAAGTGTGAAGGGCGGGAAAGCGAGTGCGGCATGCGGGGAAGGCGACCGGCGGGGGAATTGAAGGCATCGGGGGGGAGAAGTGAAGGCGACTGAAGGGGGAATTGAAGCAGACGGAAGGGGGAATTGAAGGCGACGGGAGGGGGAAGAGAAGGCGACGGGAAGGGGAAGAGAAGGCGACGGGAAGGGGAAGAGAAGGCGACGGGAAGGGGAAGAGAAGGCGACGGGAAGGGGAAGAGAAGGCGACGGGAAGGGGAAGAGAAGGCGACGGGAAGGGGAAGTGAAGGCGACGGGAAGGGAAAGTGAAGGCGACAGGAAGGGGAAGTGAAGGCGACGGGAAGGGGAAGAGAAGGCGACAGGAGGGGGGGAAGAGAAGGCGACGGGAGGGAGGGAAGTGAAGGCGACGGGAGGGGGGGAAGTGAAGGCGACGGGAGGGGGGGAAGTGAAGGCGAACACTCCGGGGGGAAAGTGAAGGCGACAGGATGGGGGGAAATGAAGGCGAACACTCCGGGGGGGAAGTGAAGGCGACGGGAGGGGGAGAAGTGAAGGCGACGAGAGGGGTAAGTGGAGGCGACGGGAGGGGGAAATGAAGGCAACGGAGCGGGGGGAGGGGGGGGAGTAGGGGCGACCGGGGGGGAGTGAAGGCGACGGGCGGATCGAAGGCGACGGGCTGGGGTCGCGAACGCGACGAGCTGCGGAAGCGATGGCGACGACGCCGGCGACAGAGAGCGGACGCATGGGACCTAGGGAAAGGAAGGCGAGGGCGAGGGGATTGTCACGCTTGGACGAACAGGTGCGATTCGATTTTCGCCGCGAGTTTATGCTACTCAGTAGTTGCACAATAACCTGCATTTCGACACAAAAATCTTTACCTAGCAAACACTAGCTTTGCGTGTCATCACCGAAATCGGCGCCACCCACATCCTAAGGCGCATCTGATCCCTTTTGAGTGAACGCCGACGCCCTGCCCTGTCTACAGGTATGCTCTATGCCTAATATCCTGCGTGCTGTCTCAAACTGTGCACAGTTTGGTATGCACGTGCTTTTCTGGTCGTGGGAAGGACCCCACCCATCATGCGAGAAACTTTTGTCGCAAATTGGTTTCGCGAGTGAAAGTATCTCGCAATCCAACCGAACCTCTCCGTGCCTGCCTCCCGAACCTAGTTTTTAGCGTTGACTTCCGTTGAGTAATTCAGGTCTTGGGCTTTAAAAGCCTATCAGAAATAATGCTGCAATGTATGTGTGTGTCATTTCATCTCATGGTACCTTCCTAAAAGCCTCTAGATGCTAGCTTGAATGCAAGCTTTGACTAAAATTATGGTACAAAGGAATTCATATCTGCCGTACAAAAGTACGATCATCACTTGCTGATGGGTTGAACGGCAATCACAGACACGACGGAATGCCCTGCAGAGTCAGTCCATGTGAGGCTACCATACGTGAAGTCCCATGATGCGGTTGTCACAGTGAGCTTCACAGAAAACATGGCGCTTGCACCCTTGTTCAGCACCAGCTTGCTAGGACTCACCACAACCGCCACACCTGCTGGTGCGACAACTGATGCAGTGTATGTTGACATCGCATTTACAACGTTTGTTACAGTTCTTGAAACTGTAACTGTCTTGACAAGCCGTCCCACCGAGATTGAGGGTCTGTTGAGGTCATATGGTTTAATCCCCGCCAGCTTGACTCCTCTCGGAAGCATTGCTTTGGCCTTTGAAATCCCCAATCCTGCAAGGAAATTGTAATAATCCATGGCTCCCGCATTGTATGTCAGCCCTGGGTCCAGCAATCGAGAGGGGTTCACATGGCCCCCACCCATGTCCCATGGTGTGGCCGTAACCCCAGCCGGCGTGCCAATGGGAGCCCCGGCAATATTGATACGGGTCGCAGTTGTGACAATCGCGGAAATGACTTGAGATGGGGTCCAGAAGGGGTACTTTTGCATCACAAGTGCTGCGATTCCAGCCAGGTGCGGAGTAGCCATGGATGTCCCAGAGATAGCTTCAAACGACGGCTTGCTCGCAGAGGAGAGAGAATCGCTGCGCCATGCCGCCCACAGCGACACCCCTGGCCCGATAATATCCGGCTTTAAGATGTCGTTAGTGGGCTTGGGGAGGGAGGGGGTGGTGTAAGGGTTCGCAACGGGGCCTGTGGAGGAGAAGTACGCAAGGGTGGGGGCGGTGGGGGCGGAGAGGCGGGAGAAGGACGGCGCGAGCGTGGCGACAGGAGAGGCCGTGGAGCGGACATAGGTTCGCAACCGATCAGCATCACCAGCAGAGAGGTACGCAATAGGCAGCAGCTCGTGGTACGGTGTGAAGGGCTCGAGCGACGCGGGAATGTTGACCATCAGCACGGCTTTGGCACCCTTGCTGCTGAGATCATTGAGCTTCTCCCCTGTGGACATGCCACCGTATGAGCAGATGACGATCCGGCCGGAGACAAGAGTAGCATTGAGAGCGCCAGACAGGCACTGGTCCGCACGAGTGGTGGATATGGAGGAGCGGCGTGCGGCGATGCCTTCGATGAGGGGCGTGGAGGTGAGGGACGTGGCGCCGGCACCGTAACCACTGGTGGTGACGATGGTGCCGTCGCCGAGAGTGAGGTTGGCTGCACAGTGCCGGCTGATGGTGCTGCGGATGGGGGGAAAGAAGGGAGGAGGAAGGGGGAGGAGGGGGGGGAGAGGGGAGTGAGGGGAGGTATGGGTGAGGACGGTGCGATGGGGGAGAAGGGACTGGGAGAAGAGAAGCACAAGAGAGAGTGGGAGAAGGGAAGAGAGGGAGAAAGGCAGGGAGGCAGGCATGTGAATCTGACCTTGCTCCGACGGTGAGGTAGAAGGGGGAAAAGTTGGAGATAGTGCGGTAACCGGAAGAATCGTCCCGAGGAGGCCCGCTGTTACCAGCTGCATACACCACTGTCACGCCCGCCTGCTCACACACAGCAACGGGAAGCAGGGGGGGAGAAAAATGGGGGGAGATGAAATGAGCAGGGAGAGAGATGAACGAGAGCGACACGAGCAGGAGGAAAGCCGGAGGCACAGCCACCGCTGTGGCAGAGAGCACTGAGGAAGGAAACCGCAAAAGCGCCACAGGATGTGCGTTCACATCGCGGCAGGAAACCATACTGCCTTCGCACACCATTGGAACATGTGATGCCGGTATTGAGGCGAATGGTAAATCGACCAACGCACGGAGAATCAACGCGCACACACCAGGTTGGCGTTGAGGTAGGATATGTCATTGAAATAGGTGGCTGACGTGTCCAATCCGCCCAAGGACAGGCTCAGCACGTCAACCCCGTCAGCCACTGCCAGGTTGACCGCTGCTTCTATGTCGGCGAACGAGGCAGTGGTGCCGCCCGACTGCGCGTTGCTCCAGAACACCTTGTACACTGACAGGCGCGCACGCGGGGCCACGCCGCTTGCTGTGCCGATGGTCTGCCCGCGGGATGTGGTTACTGTCACGCCCGCGTTGCCTGCTGCCGCGCTGGTGCGGAGATGGGAGGGGGGATGAGTGGTGCGGGGGGGGGAAGGGGGAGGGGGGACGACAGGGGGAAGGGGAGGGGGGGGGACAGGGGGAAGGGGAGGGGGGGGGACAGGGGGAAGGGGAGAGGGGAGGACAGGGGGAAAGGGAGGGGGAGGGGAGGAGAGGTAGGAGTGGAGCTTTCTGACAAGGAGGATCTTCAGAAAAGCAGAGGCTACATGCTGCATACATACATCCACATCTTTGCTTCGATCGCCCCGCCCATCCCCGTGTGGTTCCAGTGACCCGCAGCGGGAATTCCCCTTCCCCCAACCCTCCCGTGACCCGCCCCATCTCCGCCGTCTGACGAGTCGCCAGCCAACCCGCGGTCACCCCGCTTACCCTGCACACCACGTGCCGTGCCCGTCCGCGTCGCGCGCGGAGCGCCAGTCGTCGGTAAGGCTCACCGGCGCGCCAGTCATGGCGCGGAACCCCGCGTTCAGGTACCGCGCGCCGATGAGCTTGCCGTTGCAGCGCGGGAAGTCCGCGGTCGTCTGGCACACGCCGCGCCACGTGGACGGCCGCGCGCCGTAGGGAACGGTTGCCTGCGGAGCAGGGGAGAGGGGAGCGGGGAACGGGGAGTGGGAAGGGGAAAAGGGGAAAGGCGTTAGGGGTGCAAGCCAGCGGGAAGCATCATCGGAAATATACGTGTCGCGATGTTCGGCTGATGCAGCAGCAGAGCGGAACACGGACTCCGAAGTGTCTAGTAGGACGGACGACTTTTGAGTCGACTCAAAGTCGCTTGGTTTCGGACAGACACCTTGAATCTTCAAAAACACTCAAGCGTCTGATCTCCTAGTAAGGCAAGTAAGCGTTTCGGATAAGTCTGACCTCTCATTTTATAGACCGATAATCTCGCACGCGCTTGAAATGTAATAAATGTACGAAAACGAGCGCAGTCTAGAAGTAGTTGACGAGGTAATCTCCACTCACGTTCGTGTCGCTGAACGACGGATGCTCCGGCCAAATGCCCGTATCCACTATACCGATCACCACGCCCTCTCCCGCTTTCCCCTGCCCGCCCGCGCTCGCCCACACCGATTCGGGCAGCTTCAGAAATTCCGACGAGTCCGTCGTCAGCTTGCGCATCGCGACGTTCGCGACAACGTCGGCGACGTTCGGGTGCCGCTGTAGCTTTCGCAGCTGCGAAGGCGTGAGCTCCGCGGCGAAAGCGTTACTCGCGTATTTGTAGCTGTACAGCACGCGGCTCGTCGCAAGCCCGACGTCGCACGCTACCTGCTTCTGCATCCGCCCCAGCATCTGCGCAAACGCGCGCGCTGGCCCCCGGCGGAGGTCGATGCGCGGAAGCCGCTGCGCCAGACGACCGCCTGCACGGCCGGCGCGCTGCGCAAGGGTTGCGACTCCCGCGCCGACATCAGCGGCGGCGGCTGTTTTGGAGGAGGGCGCGGTGGCGTCGAATCCGGGGATGCCACCTGTGTACGTGGCGACGGGAGGCACGCTTCGCATGCGAACGATGTAGAGCGCCGACGACCCGCCGGCGACGGGCTGCGAAGATTGCGCTGTGCTGATCTCGTCGCCCACTGCTGGTGCGATGTCCTTGTCGCTCAACGTGCCTGCCACAAGGCAATGAGAAAAAATGGAGATGAGGGAGACAGTTGGTGAGTGTAGCCGCTCGCCGCTCAATTGGGAGCAACGCGGCGCGGGAGGAGACGCGGCGGCAGTGTCGTCATGCGGCGACATACTCAGCATTCACAGCGGGTTGGAGATTATTTTCCACTGTTGAGTGCACCCGGACCGCCTAGCACGTACCATCATCTTGTGCCTCAATCGGTGCGATGCTGGCGGAGGCGAGAATAGCGGAGAGCATTACTGGCACTAGCCAATGCAAGTGTTGCCGACGCGGCCCGGTGGAGGTCACCACCCTGTCTTCGCCTCGTTTCCGAATCGCGCGCACACGCCTCGTTGACGACGACGGCGACGACGGCGAAATGCTTTGGTTCAATAACGACATCGTCGATGTCGTCGATGATGGTGAACCTAGTGACGATGACGTGCCAGTTGTGCTTCTAAACTTCATGCGGGCACAGCCCGTCGCCATGCTCTTTAGGTGATTCTGAAGCCTTTGCGGTTCGCGCTATGTTCAGCTGTGTCGATGGTGAGTTAGTGTGCCAGAAATTCAACATATGCCGTTTGTCAAGAGAGAGAAGTCGAAAATCCAGCTATTTAATCAAGAGTGCTAAGGAGCATCTAAGCGTGGCGGGAGCAGCGGGAACACGAACGAGCCAGCGAGCACCTGTGACTTTCATGCTCCTAGTGCATGCCTGTCGATTCACGGACATTTGTCCGTTTTTCCTGAGAATTCAGGGTTAGTTTCAGCTCAGCTCGGAGATTTTCAGGGCTTGTTTTTCCCCAGCCCGGATTTCTAACAGACAGATTTTGGAACTCCCCGGATTTCCGTACCTGCCACCCCCTTCCCCTCCCCCCCTCTCTTCCTCACCTTAGACCGTGAACTTGTTCCTCTCCCACTCCTCCCAACAACACCAGCCCCCAACGTTCCACTAACGTATGCTGCTCTTTAGTGTATGTATAGCTCGATAATTTAGCTTTATTACGCATGCTTCTCAGAGCCGGAAATATGAATGCCCGATGGCTCAGGGTTGTTTTCGAGACAGCTCAACTTCTTACGGGCTGGACCCCGACCAGTCGACAGCCCTGTCCTAGTGATATCATTCTTATCCTAGTGTTTGCTCGTTCTGTAAAGTGGAAACAATGTTTTTCAGAATCAAGCCTATTCACCAACGTGTTTCAGTTCAGAGGAAAAACTGGCGGCGCTTCGTTCAAGGCTTGTGGACGATATCAGGCTGGTTGCGACAGAACGTAATCGCGTGTGGCAGCTGTGGCCCAGCGGAGCTTCAAGATTTGGCAGGATTTGTGTTTTGAAGAATTTGCTCATGACAGTAGCAGTGCTGCTGGTCTGAGGAATTTGTTGGTCCCCTAGCCCAGCCCGGCTTCCTTCCGACTATGTCAACACAAGTCACCCATTCTACACCCCACTCACACAATTAGCTGCTCAGATTCATATAAATTTGAGGGTGGGGTAGGGGGTAGGGGGGTGGGGGGGTGTGGAGTTGAAGAGTTTTTTCCAATCAACTTTCTGTTCTACTATTCTTCAGTCCCTGCAAATTCGTTCGGACAAGCATTCAAAAACAAACACGCGGAAGTTCCCACACCCCCCAATCCTTCACTGTGGTGCGTACAGGTGCGTGGCATTTGCTGCTGTTGCAACAAACAGCGCAAATCCATGTCGGGCAGGATTCTCGCGGCTCGTTCCCGTGAGTTCTCTCGAATTCGTTTTTGAGCCGCCGTGTATCCTTCCCCCCATGTGCTGAGCTGAACCATGTCAGGTTAGACACCAGAAGAGACAATCTAGCAACACTGGAGTTTGGAAAGTGAAGGTTTTATCTAATCGCCACGGGCAAAAATAAAGGTTCTCGTTGAGAATGGGAATGTTTTTGTAGCCCGATTAACTTTCTGGTGGCGTCTGCGAGTGGCAAACCTTGTTCTGTCTGCTACTGTACATGATTGTTTCCAAACAATTGGACTTTCTTGGTGGAGGTCGCGGCAAAGGCGACTGTAATATCCGGGCCGCTGCCCGTGCTCATTCGCAGAAGGCAGTCAAATCTTAATAAATACGGCATCTATACGCAGTACGTTTGAAGATTTAGTGTACTGGAGTTGGTGGGGCTGTTTCAAAATTGTGGTACAGCTTGGTTTGTCGTAGGTGCGCGAACATGTGTTGGTGAGGTGAGCCCAGGAAGGTACAGTAGGTGCATGGATGTCCGGGGAAGGTAGTGCAGTACACGTACAGTGTCACAACATAAACAATTCTTCATATCTGTTACGGGTGCAATGGACCTAGGTAGATGTTAAACGAGTACGACATGTGAGCGAAGGCATGAGCGAACATTTATACGAGAAACATGCAAACGGTAACGCGATGTGTGCGAGCTAGCTAGTGCTGCGGAGATTAACGGTAGTGAGCTAGACTACAGGGGTTGGCACGAACGACTAGAGGTGATCTTAGTTTTGCTTGGTTCCTTAGTGTTTGCACATTCACGGAGGAAATTGGCAAGAGTTTTCACTAGCAAAGTTGGAATTCTGTTACGAGTGCAATTGAGTGAACGAACGAGAATTGCACTATCGAAGCAAGAGTACATTGAGCGAAGGCATGAGCGAACATTATATAGCGAAACTAAGGTGGTAACGGTAATGGTCGCGCGACGAGCCTGGGACTGAGGTTGGGAAAGTGTCGAAGCGTAGGCCCGGAGCGCGGGTTACCAGCCGAGCCGTAAGGTCAGGATGCGATGTGCGAAAAAGGCGGGATGATGAATGATGCGATGGTCGCGAGTGGTAACGGTGCTGACTGAGGTGCTACAGTGATGTACGCGCTGAGTAGGGACGCGAAGTAAGGAAAAGGGAATTTCCTTACACTACCCCCCCCTCCCAAGGAGGTCCTCCTTACGAAAGCGCGTGGATGTCTCTGAAATTACGGCTGCGCAGATAGTCCGTGACGACTGGGTGGTTTTCAATTTTATCCAGTGGAACCCAGTTGTCCTCGGTGGGGGTACGATCTTTCCAGCGGAGCAGGAATTCCACTTTTCGAGCTCCTCGAGGGTCACGAACTCTGTGGCTTAGGATTTTTTCGGGGGTGATGACGGGTTCGGTTGGTGGTCGTGTCATGCTGGAGGGTCGATGTCGTGGGAGTTGGCTGGTGGAGGGCACGTAAGGGCGAAGTAAGCTGACGTGGAATGACGGGCTGACGTACCAGTCAGCAGGGAGGAGGAGGTGCGCGGTGACTGGTGTCACCATGTGGCTGATTCGAAATGGCCCGCAGTATCGAGGGCGAAGTTTGGGAGTGATGGGCAGGCGGAGGTTCTGAGTGTCGAGTAAAACAAGATCGTCGGGCTGGTAGGTGACGGGTCGACGGTGGCGATCGGCGTTGCGTTTAGCGATGATGTTTGATTTTTTTATTGCTTCGGCTGCCCTGGTCCGTGCTGCTTGCAGAATCTCGGCGAACTGTTGTGCCCGTGGGACGGGGTTGTCGGGATTTGGTGTCATGGGTACTGTAGGGTCCTGTCCGAAATTCAAGTAAAACGGCGACTGTTGCGTCGTGGCTGATGGCGCGTTGTTGTACGCGAACTCGATGAGTGGCAGCTGCTGTTCCCACGTATTCGGATCGTCGCACGTGGCTCGAATCAGCTGCTCCATGGTCTGATTGGTCCGTTCCGTCTGTCCGTCGGTTTCGGGGTGGTAGGATGAACTGAACTGTAAGCGTGTGCCGAACTGCTGCCACAGGTTCCGCCAGAAGTTGCTGGTAAACTTCGTGTCCCTGTCGCTGATGATCGACGCGGGTATCCCGTGCAGTCGAACGACGGTGGAGATGAAGAGTCGGGCGGTTTCTTCGGCTGGGATGGATTTCCTGCATGCTGCGAAATGAGCCATTTTCGTTAGTCGATCAACGACGACCAGGATCGCGTTGTTCCCACTCGCCCCAGCTGGTAACCCCGTGACGAAGTCCATCGTCACCTGCTGCCAAGCACGCTCTGGAGGCGGGATGGGTTGTAATTGCCCAGCTGGTCGCTTCCTGCTTGACTTCATGAGCTGGCAAGTGGGACACGATGCCACGTGTCGTTGCACATCGGTCAACATTTCCGGCCAGTAGTAGTACCGCTGCAGCTGCTGCCGTGTTTTCTCTACCCCGAAATGTCCCGAGGTAACTCCGTCGTGTGCTTCCTGTAGCAGTAGTTCCCGCAGTAGCGTGTAACCCGGTACCCAGATGCGGTCGGTTCCAGTTTTTACGTAATAGACTCCTTTTGCCGCTGCGAATTGCTGTGAGTTGCCTCTTGTGAAGAACGGGTCTGTTTGATATCCGTGGGTAAATAGGCCTGTTAGCAGTGGGCTAGTCTGGGCGAGTAGTATCGCGTGGATTTGGGCAGTGGGGCGGGTCAGTGCGTCGGCGATGTTCGAAGCTCCTTTTTTGTAGGTGACCGTATAATGAAAGTTCGACTCGAGGAAGTCGAGCCATCGAATCTGTCGTGGGTTGAGATGGGGCTGTGCGCGGAGGTACTGTAGAGATCTATGGTCTGTCCGTACTGTCACGTCGGCGCCGGTCAAGTAGCAGCGCCACACTTTGAAGGCGTGCACGATCGCGAGCATTTTGCGATCGTGTATCGGGTAGTTTCGTTCAGGCGGATGTAGCTTGCGTGATTCGTAGGCGACGGGTTGGAGGCCGTCGCCGAAGTCCTGTAACAGTACTGCTCCAATGGCGATGTCACTCGCATCGGTAACCACTTCGAACGGTCGGTGGGGATCTGCGATGCGTAGAACGGGTGGTGAACAGAGAACATTTTTCAGGGCAGAGAAGGCAGCATGCTCTTTCTCCCCCCACGTAAAAGCGACCCCCTTACGCAGTAAATCAGTGAGCGGGGCTGTTAAGCGTGCCATGTCGGGCACAAACCTACGAACGTAATTAACAAAACCTAAAAAACTCTGCAGTTCGGTGATGTTCGTCGGGGGCCGCCACGCTTTTACCGTATCCAGCTTCTTTGGGTCAATCTCAACCCCAGCCTCCGAAATGACATGACCCAAAAACTCTAACCTGTCCTTAAAAAACTCGCACTTGGAGCCCTTAGTGAGTAGTCGATGTTCCTCTAAAACCTTAAAAACTGCTTCAAGATCTGCTAAGTGTTGCTGCTTATCCCGGCTGTAAACTAAAATATCGTCTAGGTAAACTATCACGCATTTATCTAAAAGCGGTCTAAACGCCTCGTTCATGGTCATCTGAAAAGTTGCAGGCGCGTTCGTCAG